TGAGAAAAGGGACAGGCACTTAATCTGAGGTTGCTGGGGATATTTTCAGAAAAGTGGTAAGATCTGGTGGACAAAGAAAAGGAAGGTAAACCAGATATCCAGACAGAGTACCACATGGGAGAGAAAAGGTGTGTCAGCTGGAAGCGTCAGGAGCCCCTATGAGACGGGAGAGTTCCCTGGACCCCTTCATGGGACTTGCAACAGGGATGTGGCTCGCTCAAACTTTTTGTAGGAGGGGGAGCACACAGGCAAGCGGGTGCAGCATCTGGGGTGAGCACTTTTGGGATCTGGCCCCATGGTAGTGTCTATGGGTATGTTACAAGTAATGCTCTTTTAGCAGTTGCCATCAGGGATGGCTAAGCATTAACCAGCTCAGTGGACACTCAGGGTGACAGCCTTTTACCCCCTGCCCTCTTGGTACCCAGGTCCTTGACTGGTGTCAAGGAAGAATCAGGTTGCATGGTTTTATTGATGATAGAGGTGGCTCTCAGTGGGATGGGGAGCTGGAAAGGGGATGAATTGGGAAGATAATCTTCCCCTGGAGTTCAGCCGCTCTCAGCCAAACTACTTTCCAAATGTCCAGCTGCCTCTTCAACATTCAGATGCTGTTTCTCCTCTCCACATTCAGCCTCTTGTTCTGCCCTCTCCTCTGCTCCTGTGCCAGTGGAGCTTGGGGTTTTTATGGGTGCAGGATTGGGGGGCATGGCAGGCCAATATGGTTTTGGAAAAGCAACATTTGGGCAGGAAAACAGGGATGTGAAGTTCTCATTAGGGCTGTGGGCTCAGGCTTTTAGGTGCCTTGCCAGGGACTTTGCCCTGTTCTATCCAGTATTTCCCTGCCCCCTGTCCATATCACCTATACCTAGAATGTTGAGTTGGAAAAGTGACATCAGGAGGGAAGGGGCAGGAGAGAAATCCAGCTCAAGGGAGCCCTTCTTCCCTGTGCCAAGGAGCTCAGATTTATACCCAAAACAATCCTGAGATATTTTTAAATGTTCTCCTCTAGCTCTTGTCACTCTCCTTGGGTCATCTCAGATAACTCCTTCCACTCTCTTCGTATGTTCTGCTACTGTTTTTATCCGTAACGTCAAGGTCTATAAGTATCTCTTAAGCATTTGCACTTTTCTTCAGTTTTGTGGCCAAGGATGCAACACCCTAAGACAGGCTTTGGAGCAGAGAGAAACCATGCTGTGGTCTACCAGCCATGTCGCCTGAGCCAGAAAAGCAAACCATTCACAATAGTACGAATATCACACAATAGAATAACAAATTACCATTGTAATTTTTTATCACCATACTTAATATATTTTGAAGGTACATTTAAAGAAAGTCGGGAGGGGACAGGGGATAGGGAAAGACAAAAAAAAGGAGGTCAGGAAATTTCTGTGTTTATCAAAAGGAGACAGGAAATATGACTCACTCACAAAGTACCCAAACGTCTAGTAGGTATCTCCACCTGGGTGTCCTATTGGCACCTCCAACTCCATACAGGTATTGACCGACTTACGACCTATGCAACTTATGACCATTCGACTTTACGACCACAATCGCTAGCCCCGACTGCTCCACGCCTGGCAGCACAAACGTTGCCCAGCTGGGCGTACGACAGTGCAGCCCAGCTTCTGGCAGCACTACCATCTCCGCGTACACCATTTCAACTGTACATATAGCCTACTCAACTTACGACCAAATCGTGTTACAACCGGTCTGCTGGTCCCAACCGTGGTCGTAAGTCGAGCACTAGCTGTATGTCCAAAACAAAACTAAAGAACTCATCACCTAAAAGGGCTCCTCCTCCCATGGGCCCAAAGCAAGCCAAACTGTCTGTGAGCTGAGACCTCCTCAACCCTTCAACTCCCTGTCCCTTTCTAGCCTTCAAAAGGCGGGGTAGAGAAGACTGTTGAATTTGGAATGTACCCTTCCCTGGGTTCTAATTTTAGCTAGACTGTTCACAAGCTTGGTGACTTTCTAGAAGGATATATGGACTAAATAGTATCCAGAGAAGAGTAATTATAGTGTCAAAAGGTCTGGAAAAGATGGGCAGTAACGGTGCAAGTTTTCATTCCTGAAAAGCAGCTTTTGGTCTTTCAAGGGTGGCTTATGCCAGGGAATTGTGTACATTCATAACCAAATCTTCCTTTCTTATGTACTTATGGCTTATGGGTGGCATGACGTACAGTGTGGTAGCTACAAAGCAACATCAGGCAATTCACTGTAAACAGACAAGTTCATAATTGAAACCACATCCATGCTTTCGTGCTGGGACTATATAAACCACACTCTTCAGTGATACATGGAATAAACAGACAGTGTTGCACCAGGAAGTTCTCATTAGCTAGAGAACTTCATTCTCTATTTTATTTTGCCTATTTCATTGTTCACTATGTATCCTTAGCACTTGGAATGAAGTCTGACATATAGTGGGCATTCTATAAAGATTTAGTGAATGAATGAATAAGGTTGTCACATCTGATAATACTTCTCTAAAGAGAAGATTCAGGTTTTAAAAAAGAAAGCCAAGGTTTTTATTATATGGCTGGTTGATTGGTTGGTTTTTTGGGCAGAGTCTCACTCTGTCACCCAGGCTGGTGTGCAGTGGTATGATCTCGGCTCACTGCAACCTACACCTCCCAGTTTCAAGCAATTCTCCTGCCTCGGCTTCCTGCTGAGACTATAGGCATGTGCCACCATGCCCAGCTAAATTTGTGTATTTTTAGTAGAGATGGGGTTTCACCATGTTGCCCAGGCTGATCTCAAACTCCTGAGCTCAGGCAATCTACCCGCCTCGGCCTCCCAAAGTGCTGGGATTATAGGCATGAGCCACTGCACCCGGCCTATTATATGTTTCTCTGTAAAACAGTTTTATTCCCTTAAGATAATTTCAGGATTAATCTTACATCTGATGATAAGCCTAATAAATGAAAGATCTTTGCATTCTTGAGCTGACTTTGGAATTGGGAATATTAATCCACGCTACCTACCCCAGAAAATCCTGAAGGGAACTGAAAGAGTGAGCTGATGAGAAAGTATCTGACTGCACTGTCCTTCACATTGGCTCTCCCCATTTCCCTGCCTAACTGGGTGTAGGATTGGACCAATTGGCCAGGCATGGTGGCTCACACCTGTAATCCCTGCACTTTGAAAGGCCAAGGCAGGAGGATCTTTTGAGCTCAGGAATTCAAGACAAGCTTGAGCAACAGAGGGAGACCCTATCTCTACAAAAAATAAAACATTAGCTAGGCGTGTGGTCCCAGCTACTCAGGAGGCTGAGGTGGAAGGAACACTTGAGCCTGGGAGGTCCAGGCTGCAGTGAGCTATGATTGTGCTTCTGCACTCCAGCCTGGCAACACAGCAAGACCAAATCTAAAAAAAAAAAGAAAAAGAAAAGGATTGAGCCAGTTAAAACAAGCAAAAACTACTAGCAGTCTCTTTTGTATCCCCCAGTTAAAGACTTGGAGGAATATGAAATCCTTGAATACTCAGAGTTAAGTTTGCTTTCATTTGTAGCTTTCTTACTCTGTGCTTTTACTCAGTCAACTGACAGTTGAGAGAATTTGGAATGTATATATCTAGAAAGTATAGTTTTCCTGGTCCTAAACAAGAATATCAAGTCTGGCCATGTAGTTGGCTCATGACTGTAATCCCAGCACTTTGGGAGGCCAAGGAATGGATAATTTGAGGTCAGGGGTTTGAGACCAGCCTGGCCAACATGGTGAAACTCGGTCTCTACTAAAAATATAAAAATTAGCAGGGTGTGGTGGCAGGTGCCTGTAATCCCAGCTACTTGGGAGGCTGAGGCAGGAGAATCACCTGAGCCTCAGAGGCAGAGGTTGCAGTGAGCCAAGATCATGCCACTGCACTCCAGCCTGGACAACAGAGTGAGACTGTCTCAAAAAAAAAAATCAAGTCTAAGAGACAAAGGATTAAATCACATGCATTGGCAGAATCTGGAATCTCCCTTTTTGGTTGCTGTATTTCCAAGAGAAAAGGAAAAAAGGGCTCTACCTACTTTTCTTCATTATCCTGGAGAATCTTGGAAGTCTATGGCCCAGGAATAAATTAGTGTCAGAAAACAGAGTACATAGCAACATTCTCCCTGAATCATGACATAAACCCATTTGCCTGGCATGTACACATTTCATTGTACCAAATAAGTATTCTAAATTCTTTGTACATTTAATTGGTACCAACCAGCAGCCAGAGCTTGCTTTCAACTAAGGTGACGTGCTTCTATAGGAAGATTTACCTTAACTTCTCCAGCAGAAGACCAACACACATGAATCGTTTCTGAAGTTGAATTAGGTCCTGTGGATAGAACATACTCTGCTGACCTGCAGACAGACTTCAGGATCTATTTGCTTTTTCTGGGCTTCAAATTTGTTTTACCTTAGACAAAGACCTAAATTTAACACAACTGATTCTTATAATAGGGAAAGAAATAGAAAATTCACTAGGCAGTTAATATTCTTCTCAATCGTTTTGAATCATTACCCCCTTACAAATTCCTGAAGTGTGCCAGTGTCTAATTAGAGCCATGAAAAATATGAGTTTCAAGGAATGATTCCTTTTCAAACTTTTTAATACTGTAGCTGTGAAAAGCTCATCTACAAATATATTCAATGCCACCAGTTGTGCATGGAGTTAAAAGTGGATGGGAACCAGATTTCAACCAAATGTAAGAAAACATATTCAAATGCATAAACTCGTCTGTCTGTGGAACTGCAGCAGGCCAGCTCAGGTAGTTCTAGGATTCTCTAATATTGCTCCAAGTGGAAAGACGTGTTCACCCAGGCCTTGTGCAAAGTGAAACAGCAGGAACAGGGATGGAGGCTGCTGTGATTCTTGTGGGAGACAATGGCAAGAGGGATCCATCTGAAATGGAGATTTTATTTGGGAAAACAGGAGGTGCTGAAGAGTTTTATTGAAGAAATAGGTATCAAATTATTTGGGATCAATGGTATACTTGACTCTGACACTTGACTTTCTTTCTTTCTGTACAGCCAGTGCGGATTTTCCATATAATCCAGGACAAGGCCAAGCTATAAGAAATGGAGTCAACAGAAACTCGGCTATCATTGGAGGTAGGTGATGTGCAGAGTAGGCTATGTGGGGCTACTCACCTAAGTAGTAACTGTCAATAACACAGTAGTCTAGGAAAAAAGTTTTCCAGATTTTTACATTATTCATTTTGCCGTTTAAATAGGACATAAGCTTATGAAGTATGATGTGAAGAAATATAGTAAATATGGCCGGGCACAGTGGCTCACACCTGTAATCCCAACACTTTGGGGGGCCAAGGTGGACAGATCACCTGTGGTCAGGTGTTCAAGACCAGTCTGGCCAACATGGCAAAACCCCATCTCTACTAAAAATACAAAAATTAGCCAGGTATGGTGACTCACACCTGTAGTCCTAGGTACTCGGGAGACAGAGGCAGGCGAATTGCTTGAACCCGGGAGGCAGAGTTGCAGTGAGCTGAGATTGTGCCACTGCACTCCAGCCTGGGAGACAGAGTGAGATGCCATCTCAAAGAAAAAAAAAGGAAATACAGTTAAAGTGTCACCTGGCTACTTTTTTTTTTTTTTTTTTTTTTTTTCCCTCTGAGACAGAGTCTCGCTCTTGTTGCAGGCTGGAGTGCAATGGCATGATCTCAGCTCACTGCAACCTTTGCCTCCCAGGTTCAAGCAATTTTCATGCCTCAGCCTCCCAAGTAACTGGGATTACAGGCATGCACCACCACACCCAGCTAATTTTGTATTTTTAGTAGACAGGGTTTCTCCATGTTGTTCGGGCTGGTCTCTAATTCCTGAGCTCAGGTGATCCGCCCACCTGGGCCTTCTGAAGTGCTGGGATTACAGGCGTGAGCCACCACACATGGCCAACCTGGCTACTTTTTAATGCTTGCTTATAAAAAACAAATGGGAGCGGTGAGCTGGACAGATTCAGAATACACACGTAGGTAGTAGTGACCGCAGTGAGGACACTTCTTTATACTCTGATCTTTTTCAGTCTCATTCTTTCACATCTCAAATGGTCCAGGATAGCATACCATAAAAAATGAAAAGGAAAATCCCGGTCTGGTTTCAGTTACCATAATAAAAATTTATCAGCGAATTACTGGAGGTCATTATTTTAAGTGAAATAAGCTAGGCATAAAAAGTAAAGTATTGCATGTTCTTTGATACACGGGAGTTAAAAGATTCAAAAACGTCGGGGTAGAAAGAAAAACAGGTAACAGAGACTGGGAAAGTTGAGCAGGAGGAGGAAGGAGAATGGAGTGAAGTGCATTACAGGGTGCAAGCATACAGTAAGATAAAAGGAACAAATTCAACGTTTGCTAGCAGGGTAGGATGACTGTGTCTAACAAAAATGTATCGTACTCAATTGATGAACACCCTAAACACTATGACTTGATCACTATACCTTATATACGTGTAACAAATTTTCTCAGGTACCCCATTAATTTGCACAATGAAAAATAAAAATGTATCAGAAAATTAATAAGCTGTAGCATTTAAAATATTCCAGTCTTTTCTTCGCACCATGGACAGCTACATAATAATTTGACTCTCCTAGGACAGCCATTGAGCTTCATGTGTAGATCAATATTGGCATCCCTGTTGCCATCAAGATCCCAATCCTCAATGTTTTTTGCTTCTTTTTTAATCAACTTAATTGAAGTATAACATGAACCTATAAATGTAACAGATTCATAACTTTTTTTTTTTTTTTTGAGATGGAATCTCACTCTGTTACCCAGGCTGGAGTATAGTGGTGTGATCTCAGCTCACTGCAGTCTCTGCCTTGAGGGTTCAAGCGATTCTCCTGCCTCAGCCTCCCAAGCAGCTAGGACTACAGGCACACACTGCCACACATGGCTAATTTTTTGTATTTTAGTAAGAGACGGGGTTTCACTGTGTTGCCCAGGCTGGTCTCAAACTCCTGAGCTCAAGCAATCCACCAGCCTCGGCCTCCCAAAGTACTAGGGTTACAGGCGTGAGCCACTGTGCTTGGCCTCAGTCTTTCTATAATTTGTGGTTTGTTTGTCCTGTCTAAAAAGTCTGCCCACCCAAAGGTTTTGAAGATTTTCAGCTTTATTCTAGAAGTTGTATAGCTTTATCGTTTACCATTAGGTCTTTAATCACTTTGAGTTAATGTTTATAAATGGTGTGAGAGGAGAGTCAAAGTCAGTATTTTCCAAATGAATATCTACTTATTCCAAGACTATTTGTTAAAAAAAAAAAAAAAAAAAAAAAAAAACTATACTTTTCCTCAATTGAATTTTCTTGGTACTTTTGTCAAACGGCAATTGACTCGTGTGTGTGTGTGTGTGTGTGTGTGTGTGTCTGTCTGTCTGTCTATTTTCTGGGCTTTTTGTTTTGTTTCATTGGGCCATGTATCTTTCCTTAGCCAATTCCATGCTTGCATCATTGTTGTACCTTTATACTGTCTTGAAATAAGCAATAAAAGTTCTCTAATCCTTTGTTTTTCAAAATTATTTTGACTATTCTATGTCATTTGCATTTCTATATAAAATTTAGAATCAGCTTATAAATTTCTATCAAAAAATTGGCTATGATTTAGATTGGGATTGTATTAAATCTATAAATGAACATCTTAACAATATTTAGTATTTCTATTTTTTTTTTTTTAGATGGAGTCTTGCTCCATCACCAGGCTGGGGTGCAGTGGCGCAATCTCTGCACCTCTGCCTCCTGGGTTCAAGCAGTTCTCCTGCCTCAGCTTCCCAAGTAGCTAGGACTACAGGCATGTGCCACCATGCACAGCTAATTTTTGTATTTTTAGTAAAGACAGGGTTTCACCACATTGGCCAGGATGGTCTTGATCTCTTGACCTGGTGATCTGCCCGCCTCAGCCTCCCAAAGTGCTGGGATTACAGGTGTGAGCCACTGCAGCTTGCCTAGTATTTCTATCTTTGCATGGCATATCTATACATTTATTTGTCTCTTTAATTTCTCTCAGCAACATATTGCGGTTTTCAGTGAGAAGTCTTGAACAACTCTTAAACTTGTGCAATTGTGATTTTATATTTCATTTTCTAGGTGTTTCTTTCTGGCATATAAAAGCATAATTGATCCTTTATATCAGCCTTGTATTCTGTGACCTTGCTAAATTTGCTGTTAGTTCTAGTAATTTTTTTTTGTATATTCCTTAGTTGTCTATCTAAACAAGCATGTTATCTCACAATAATGACATTTTTTTTACTGGTTTTTTTCCAATCTACATGTTTTTTAATTGTTTTATTGCATTCGGTAGGACTTTCAGTATAAAAGTGAATAAAAGTGTTGAGATTTCACAATTTTGCATTGTTCCCTATGGTAGGAAAATGTGTTTGATCTTTCACTATTAAATAGGATATTGGTGGCCAGGTGCAGTGGCTCATGCCTGTAATCCCAGCACTTTGGGAGGCCAAGGCGGATGGATCACCCAAGGTCAGGAGTTCAAGCCTGGCCAACATAGTGAAGCCCCACCTCTCCTAAAAATACAAAAAAAAAAAAAAAAAAAAATAGCTTGCTGTGGTGGTAGGCACCTGTAATCCCAGCTACTTGGGAGGTTGAGGCAGGAGAATCGCTTGAATTCAGGCAGCAGAGGTTGCAGTGAACCAAGATCATGTCATTGGACCCCAGCCTGGGTAACAACAATGAAACTATCTCAATAAATAAATAGGATATTGGCTGTAGGTTTCCAATAGATGTTCTTTATCAGGTTGGGAAAGTTTCTTCTACTCATCATTAACTGAAGGTTGTATGATGAATGGATACTGGAAGTTTTCCAAATGCTTTTTCTGCATTTATTTCGATGATCATATTGTTTTACTCCTTATTTGCTTAATTTGGTAAATCACATTGCTTTATTTTTAATGTTGAACCAACCTTGCATTCCTAGGATTAACATTACTTCATTGTAATATATGACCTTGTTTACATATTGCTGGGTTTGATTTGCTAAAATTCTATTTAAAAGAATATTCCTCCATAGTTTTCTTGTAATGTTTTTCTGATAATCCTGATCTCATAAAATGAATTGAGTATTGTTTTCTCCTCTATTTTAAGAAAGATATATAGGATTGGTCTAATGTCATTAGGTAATGTTTGTTAATGGTATTGTTCGGGTCTTTTAAATTTTTGCTGATTTTCTGTTCAATTGTTCTATCAGTTACTGACAGAACAGTGTTAAAATCTCCAAGTATAATTGCAAATGGGTCTAATTCTCCTACCAGTTCTACCAGTTTTTGCTTCATTTATTTTGTACTTCTGTTGGTTTATGCACATTCAGAATCATTATGGCTTATTGATGAATTCACCCTTTTGTCATTATGAAATGTTATTCATTTCTACTAACAACCTTGTTCTTTTTCTCATATTAATGTAGCTATTCCAGCTTACTATGATTATTGTTTGCAATCTTTTCCCACCCTTTTTTCACCTGTATAGCTCATGTCTTGTAGACATCATATAGTTGGCATCTTTATCTACTGTCTCTATTTTTTAATTGGAGTGTTTAGATCAGCTATATTTACTTCTATTTTATCTAATCTGTATTATTTCATCCAGTTTTTTTGTTTTGTTTTGTTTTAGATAGAGTCCTGCTCTGTCACACAGGCAGGAGTGCAGTGGCACAACCTCAGCTCAATGCAGCCTCCACCTCCCAGGTTCAAGTGATTATCCTGCCTCAGTCTCCCAAGTAGCTGGGACTACAGGAACATACCACTATGCCTGACTAATTTTTGTGCTTTTAGTAGAGTCAGGGTTTCATCATGTCGGCCAGGCTTATCTTGAACTCCTGATCTCAGATGATTCACCCACCTCAGCCTCCCAAAGTGCTGGGATTACAGGCATGAGCCACTGCGCCTAGGCTGATCCAGTATTTTTTTCATTTCAGATATTGTGTGTTTCACCTCTACAAGTTCCACTTTGTTTCATTTTTATCTCTTTTCTTTTTCCCCGCATTTTAATCATGTTTTCCTTTAAATCCCTATGCATGTTTCTAATAGCTGTTGTACTGTCCTTATCTGCCCCTTCCATTCTCTGTCATTTTTGGATCTCGTTCTAATAGACTAATGTTTCTTCTGGTCAGGTGACATTTTCCTACTTTATTTTTTCTCTGAATGCTTGATAATTTTTATTGGATATTAAATATTACTAATGTTCCATTGAGTTTTTGAGTTTTATTGTCTTTCATTAATGAATAATGAGGTTTGTTTTAGCAGGCGATTAAATTACTGGCAGCTTGATGTTATTTAGATGTGTTTTAAAGCTTTTTAAGGGCATGTCTAGAGTAGTCTTTATTCTAGGCCTATTTTAGCAAAACATCTTCAACATGACCATTCTATCAACTGTATTAAATGCCCTGATTGTTCAATGAGGTCTCTTCAGTGTGCTTGGTTGGAATATAAAAATCTCCCAGCCCTCTATGAGCTCTGGAAATCATTCTGCTTACAGCTCTTTAGTCACTGGTTTTTGCCTGGCCTGTGGACTTTCATTCTGTACATGCACACGTTAGTAGTATTCGGCCACGAATTCAAAGAGACTTCTGTGCAGATTATCAGGGTTATTTCTATACACAGCGCGTGCTCTCACTCTCTCACTGTGTCTGTCTCTCTGTCTCCCCTCTCCATTTAGGGAAACCACTGTGCTTTCTTGTGCTTCCCCTCCCTACACTGCTGTCCAAAAATCACTACCAGCCAGAAAACTAAAAAAAAGTAGGATTCCTTGTTTTTCCCCTCTGTTCTCAGACACCATGGTTCTGCTCTGCCTGTTGTCTAATGCCTGAAACCTGTCATTTCATAGATTGTGTCCAGTATTCTAGTTACCTTCGGCTGGAAGACAAGTTACTCCTGTTTCTCCTGTTACCCCTTCCTGGACAAAAACAGAAATCTGACTTCGTTTCTGTTGTCTTTGCTGTTTTGGAGTCTGTGTTCTATATGGGGGAGGGCTGTGTATGAGGGAGCTGTAGTGAAGCGGGGACACCGTATCAGAAGGACACCCAGACCCTGTCTAATCTCTCGTGCTTCTCCTGTCTCCACCAGGGGTCATTGCTGTGGTGATTTTCACCATCCTCTGCACACTGGTCTTCCTGATCCGGTACATGTTCCGCCACAAGGGCACCTACCACACCAACGAAGCCAAGGGGGCCGAGTCGGCAGAGAGCGCGGACGCTGCCATCATGAACAACGACCCCAACTTCACAGAGACCATTGATGAAAGCAAAAAGGAATGGCTCATTTGAGGGGTGGCTGCTTGGTGATGGGATAGGGAGGAGGGAATTACTAGGGAGGAGAGAAAGGGACAAAAGCACGCTGCTTCATACTCTTGAGCACATCCTTAAAATATCAGCACAAGTTGGGGGAGGCAGGCAAAGGAATATTCTTGAGACTGATCACCACGACAACAAAAAAAACTTTTTAATATTTCTTTATAGCTGAGTTTTCCCTTCTGTATCAAAACAAAATAATACACACAATGCTTTTAGAGTTTAAGCAATGGTTGAAATTTGTAGGTAATATCTGTCTTATTTTGTGTGTGTTTAGAGGTGTTCTAAAGACCCATGGTTACAGGGCAAGTTTTCTACGTTTTTACGAGCCCTTAGAACGTGGGTATTTTTTCTTGAGAAAAGCTGATGCACCTACATATGGCCCCAACATTCTCTTCCTTTTGCTTCTAGTCAACCTTAATGGGCTGTTGTAGTAAATAGTTCGTGTTCACCTACTATTTCCTTTCACGTCCTTTAAGTTGGAAAAGAAAGGGGCAAAGAGAACTTAGTATTTGCCAGTTTTCAAGCAGACCTCAATCTGCACCAGCTCTCTGGAATCTGGGGTTCCTGACCGATACCAGCAGTTGAAGAGAGTACGTGGCACCTGGTGTGCAACGACACAATTAGCACAACTGGAGAGAGACATTAAAGAACCAGGGAAGGTAGTTTATATTAGGGTCATTGGTTTGATTTTTCATTGAATTCTACTAAGCTAATATTGTTCCACATATGTAGTCTTAGACCAATTCAATATCTGTAACTATCTGCTGCAATACCGTGGTGACCAGCTGTCACAAAACATTTTTTCCTGTTTTATCTGAAACATATTGGATTTATATGTGTATAAGCGCCTCAGTGGGGAATTAGAGCCAGATGTTATGATTTGTTTGCTCTTTTTCTTTCATAGTTGTAACAAAAGTATGGATAATTTCTAGTGACTGCATCAACTAGGTTGCGCTTATTTTGCTTTCCATCTCTGGTAGTTTTCCACCCCTGTGACAAAATCCTAACAGACAGTGTCCTATAGACGGACACAACACAATAAAGCCAAGTTATTACTGCTGTCACTCTGGATCATATGGAAAACACTGCCATATTTTAAATCAACTACTCCACATGTTCCATTCAGTCACACTGCTGTGATTCAGGGATCTTCTAAGACGGACACATTCGAACCTCAATTTCCTCACAAACCTGGTACTCGTTACTTCTCAGAGGATGGACAAGTGTAGTTAATCACACCTCTTAATCAGAAACCTTGACCCAGTTATTTAACAAATAACTCATTGATTATATTTAAAAATAACAGACTTCATGTAAACAAATGGGACAATGCATCCAAAAATAATTTTATTTTTTAAACTGATTACACAAAAATTACTTCTAGAAAGACTGTCACTTATAGGCCTGGCGCAGCGGCTCACGCCTGTAATCTCAGCACTTTGGGAGGCCGAGGTGGGTGGATCTCAAGGCCAGGCGATAGAGACCATCCTGGCTAAAACGGTGAAACCCTGTCTCTACTAAAAATACAAAAAAAATTAGCCAGGCATGGTGGCACGTGCCTGTAGTCCCCGTACGTGGGAGGCTGAGGGAGGAGAATCGCTTGAACCTGGGAGATGGAGGTTGCAGTGAGCTGAGATCATGCCACTGCACTCCAACCTGGGCGACAGAGCAAGGCTCCACTCGGAAAAAAAAATAACAAGAAGAAAGACTACCATTTATGATCATTATATTTCAAGCCTCTACTTCATAAGCACTTTTTAAAAAATCTTGAGACTCCATTATTCTGAGGAATTAAATATGATCACTTTTTCCTTCTCTGCCTGGAAGAGGTTAAGAGGAGGTTTCAAAGGTATGGATGCTATTGTTCTGATGGCCTGGCTCAAAATATGGAAACTCTACTTTGTTAGAATTATGCAAACTTTTTCAAGAGTCTCAATATGCCTAACTTACTGGAGCATGTCAGTTTCTTGGGTAATGGAAGACGTTATCTAGAGTTGCCAATGGCACATTACAGCAGTGCACAGCACATTCCAAAGGAGACACTGGACCAGTTGCTTCCCATGCAGGTCAAGGTAACAGAATAAAAGGGAATCCTGATGCACTTTTACCATTGCTGACTGAGCTCAGGCACTGTCATGAACACCCTTAATTTTAAAAGGTTTTAGTCATTCTTCTATAAAATATTTTAAATGGTTAAGTATTTTATATCACTAAATATCAGAACAATGTAACATTTACAAATGACATATTGAAAGCAAAGGCTGTTTTATTTAGCCAAGATGATACCATTAAGAGTTATTTGATGTATTATTGAAAGCAAATTTTAAACATAATGTTTTGTAAGTGTTTCTGGGTTTTTTTTTTTTTTTAGATGGAGTATCGTACTGTCACCAGGCTGGAGTGCAGTGGCGCCATCTTGGCTCACTGCCATCTCCACCTCCTGGGTTCAAGCAACTCTCCTGCCTCAGGCTCCTGAGCAGCTGGGACTACCGGCGTGCACCACCATGCCCAGCTAATTTTTTTGTATTTTTAGTAGAGATGGGATTTCACCATGTTGGCCAGGATGGTCTTGATCTCCTGACCTCGTGATCCTCCCGCCTCGGCCTCCCAAAGTGCTGGGATTACAGGCATGTGTGTTTCTGGTTTTTAAACCTGGTTTACAGGTATTACTTCTGCACTTAACAGTTAATGCCAGATGAAAATATACTATTTCTTGGAATTCCCGTGATAGCTCTGTTCATTATTCATTGTCTCAACACTTTTCCTTTTTTCCCAAAATGAGTAGGGGATTAAAGCCACCCAAAACAGCGTCTGCTACTAAAATGTTCTCATTCTTTCTCCTCCCTCTCCTTTTCCTGCCATAAAAGGTGAAAAATGAGACCCAGTCCTCTCACCAACATTTCAAACCTAGGACACTAGAATGACTGCAGGGATCCGTGGTTCTCCCATATCACCATCAATTAAGACATTTAGGACACTGTCTCTCTCTTAAAGAGGGTTCCAATGTGACCATCAGACAGGAAACCAAAAGGTGGATAAAGTATTAAGTAACTAGGTGCCAAATAAATGCTGGAAATCTTGACCTCTCCTTGGGATTATGGGTTTAACAAAAAATCCCTGCATCTGTTTATGAAGGCCATATCCAGTACATTTCAAATAGTAAATAATCTATTTATGTGAAGAAAAGGAAGTAAGTCTTTCTTCCAACTCTCTCCCTGGACAGGCTAGCACAATGCAGCCTTTATAACTAAGACATCACCGCCCACGGGCTCAGTGCCTAGTCCTGCTTTGTCATTCACATCTCACAGAATCTTGACATCTTACATTCCAATACATTGTCAATCAAGCACAAGTATGCCGGTAGTAGCCTCTTTAAATAATATGTATAGACAAAAAAAAAAAAAAAAAAGAAGAGGCTGTTTTGAAGTTTCAGGGAAAGTTAATGGCTGATTAAGGTTGTGCAGGAAACATCCGTGTATGAAGCAAATATCGATGTTTTGAGAAGCTGAGAGTAGATGACTTTGAATGAATGCAAGGTTAGTGCTATTCTAAGCTCTCAAAATAGCATATTCCCTGCAGTTCAAGTAAGCTGATCTAGGAGGTTGAAAAAGTCATTTTGTTCAATTATTTTCTGGCTCTTCTTAATATATAAAAATATATTTCCGCTTATGGCTTTCAATCAACTGCTCAAAAAAAGAGATTTGTTATCTGGAAGTTTTTATTAAAGGGCTGAAAACAAGAAGTTAGAGAGCCTTTGCTAGAAAAGTCTTACTGCCCTACATTTGACAAACAAGCATCCTTTACTCACAAGAGCAGGAATCCCGAGGCACAAGAAAAAGCAATGGCCTGAGCCAAAGAGTTCATCTTAATGTTACTTTTGAGCATCTGCTGAGCAGCCACCATCAGCAGGCTGAGAGCTGGGCAGACAGAAGCTGTCGGAAGCACGTCAGGAACAAGCACACAGCTATGGAACTTGTAAACGCAAGTGTTCAGGTCGTGTCAAGGAGCTTTTCTCTGCTTCTGTGTTGGAATCTGTTCTTTTCAATCCTACTTCTCTTCGTCTCCTCGCCACACTATATCCCATGTCCTCCTCTTATGCAGCGAGTGTTTCCATGGCCCCTTTGTGTCTCATGCCCCCAAACAACTAACACCTGATTTGAAACTGCCCCACCTTTTTTTTCTTTTCACTACCCTGTTGAGCAGTTTTCAGAAAAAATGGCAGCAATTATTAAATTGTATTCAAGTCAGCCAGCCAAAGATATGTCCTCAGTTGCCAGTCCCAGTAGAACCACCTGATCCTAAACTGGCAAGAAACAAAGAATAACAATGTGCCCAGCTGACTTGAGCTAAGAAGTAATGCCGCCCCCCACCCCGCCTTTTTTTTTTTTTTAAGAGGGAGTCTCACTCTGTCACCCAGGCTAGAGTGCAGTGGTGTGATCTCGGGCTCACTGCAACCTCCGCCTCACGTGTTCAGACGATTCTCCTGCCTTAGCCTCCCAAGTACCTGGGATTACAGGCTCCTTGTCATCACACCCAGTTAATTTTTTTTTTTTTTTTTTTGGTATTTTTAGTAGAGATTGGGTGTCACCATGTTGGCCAGGCTGGTCTCAAACTCCTGACCTCAAGTGATCCACCTGCGTCAGCCTCCCAAAGTGCTGGGATTACAGGCGTGAGCCACCACCGAGCTGGGCTGGCCCCATTTTTTAAATGATGTTTTGGCAAGAGGAGACCCTGAGTATTAGCTGACAGCATCCTCTTTCTCTCTCCCCACCTTGGTGTGACCCTCCCTGTGTAACCTTGGTCAAGTCCTCCAACTTTTGTCCCATATTTAAGATGGAGCTGTTTTACCTACTTCATAAAACAGTTGTGAGGCGCCATTGATTCCTGACTGCAAAATACCTTGAAACCCTTATATAAAGGCTAACGTCAATGGAGCCTAGTGGAAGATTTGCTTTGTGGCTTGTGGTTGAAAGTCACATCGAGACGTAAATGTGGCCACATTCAGGAACTGGAGACTTAACTGGCATTGCTCTATAACTCGATTATTAATCTTGCAGACTGACCTGTCAACACCGGGAGATGTGACACAGCAAAAGGACAGAGAAATGAGAAATTTTTGTGCAGAAAGCC